TTCCCTGACAGAGGGCCCGGAGCAGAGGCATCTGGGGGTGAGTGAACCGAGAGACCCAGGCGGCAGCTGCGGCCGTTCCTCCCCCAGCCGTGTTCCCTCGGGGTGTGCTTTCTGTTATGGGGAGACCCACGGTCAGCCCCAAAGCCGGGGGAGAAGAATTAGACCACCACTCTCGATAGAATTCGTGGGCATCTTAAACCTCTGTCACAGCTCAGCTCAGCTGTCCCTTGCTCATCAACGTTTTCTCTGACCCCCCTGGGCGGCTCAGCTCTGCGGCCATGAGCCCAGCGGTGCGCGTCACGCCCCTGAGCGGCGCCCAGCACGGGCGTCCTTCATGCTTTTGTGGGATTGGAGAGGAAGATCAGCTTCCCTGCCAGACTCTGATTCCTCGAAGGTCACGACCTTTACTCCCCCACCCATCCCGGTTCGGGATCTCAGTCCCCAGCAGGATACTGAGAAAATGCCGACCGTTTGCTAAGCATCATTGAAGAATGGATGGATGCGCTCAGGAATACCTCAGAAGAAGCTGTAAAAATGTTCCTTGCGGGGATTTCTCGGGCTGCCTGTGACCGCTCCATACGCCCAGCTCCCCACTGAGCCGTGTCTTGGTCAACTCTGCTCTGCTAGTGCCCAGTACTGTGCCCGAAAGTCCGCGGACACTGGCTCGGTGACTGCATAGTATTACATCTCCTTACATCCATTCCTGCGATTTCTCTCAGTGCCAGTGCTCCCCAGTCGGGCTGTGGCACAGAAAGCAGCTCCCCTGTTTGCCGTCAGGCAAGTGGCCTGCTGACTGGACCTCCTGTGAGCTGGAGTGTCCTGCCCACCGTGCTGCGAGACCCCGAGCCGGGGCCCTGGACAGTCGTGCGCTCGTGCACGACCTCCCTGTCGTCCAGTTACCCACACGCAGGCCCCGGGCCTACGGCGGCCGCCGCCCTAGCTGCGTCTGTGTCTGCGGTGATCATGCACATCCACGAGCACATCCGTATCCACACGCATGTCTACGTCCTCTCTGTCCCTACCTGCGTCTCTGTCTACATCACGGGTGCAGTGCTACCTGCTACAGTGCGCGTCCCGGCGTTTTAAAAAAGTTCGCTTTGAAGTCCCCCTGTTTATATCAAGTCCTAATCTTCTGACAATACTTTGCTGCGATGACCTCTATCGCGGCGCCTTCTTTTTCTCGGCATATGGATGGCACCTCTGCACACTCACGCTCACCGAGACTTCCGGCTCTCTTTAAATACCTCTTCCAATACCTCCCCAATACTAAAAGCGCCAGGCTGTGGCGGGAGGTTCGTCTGGTCTCCCCACTCCGTTCCAGGGCGCTGCTGCCTCCTCACGCGGCAGCAATGCCATCTGAGCTGGGCTGTGTTACAGGGGACCCTGGAGGTCTCTCGTCCCTAGATTCTGACCTGTGGCTTTGTCAGGGCGGCCGAAGAACCCTCTCTACTTCTTGGTGTGTGTGTTGCGGGTGATGTTCAGAACGCCGTGACATTCATTAATTATGGTTGGCACTTAAAACCCAATATTACCTTTAGAATCCAATTAAATCAATGAACTTGGATCCAGGATGGATGTACCATTGATTAAAAAAGTGTTCCCTGCCCCTACCCCCTGCCTCATTCCAGCCCCGAACGCTGGCAACCTTCCTCATACTGTGGTTTTATATATATGACATTATATTATAATATAATATGTATCGTTATATGTAATGTATAGTGTATTTTATATTATATATATTACATAGTATATTCTTTTGCTAACAGCCATAGTTATTGTATATGTAATCTGATAAGTGCGATCCATATATAATTTACCTATATCTATATAATAATATAATATTATGAAAACAGCAGAATTTCTCCTGCTTTCCCCCGACTTTTCACATTTATATAATTAAAGTCTCTCCAGCTACATTGTTGTGAATTATAAATGAGATGTTTTCACATTAAAGAAAAGAGCTAAATGCATTTAGCTCACACATATAAAGTCGTATAAACAAAATCCATACCAGTGAACGTGAACTACTGGAGCATATTTGCCGACCGCGATAAGAGATACGACCCTTTATAACACAAGTCCTGCTTCATTTCGTGACTGGAAGGTAAGAAAATGTGTCACATTGAGGCGAAGGAGAAGCTGAGGACCGATCCTGAGCGATGGTGATTTTCCCTCAAAGCGAATGGCGCACTGTAGCATTTTGTAGCCATACACTTAAAACCACGTGTCTTGTTTCTAGTGCTAGGATGCCAGCTGTAATTAGAGCGTTCTTGCATGTTTTTAGGGTACACACATTTCATGATAAAATATATGTATTTGTTTCTGTCTGAAGAAATGAAAGCTAGAAAACCCCAAATTGCACAGACCACATGTCACGCAAATCACGCAGATCACGTGGCTATGGCGCGGCCGTGAGGTGGGGTAAGCGAGTACATTGCCTTATGTCTTACTGGGCTCTGTACATTGTCGGGCGACCTCAGCTTCCCTTTCTGGTCAGAATGGGTGCGCTAACCCCGCCTCCCGTCACCATTCTAGGTAGTTGGGAGGCCGGATTGTAAGGCACAGTGAAGACCAAACTCATGTACCTTCAAACAAGTATCCGAAGACAAGCCAGATGTCTGAAGAAAAGGTTACATCTGGCCGAATTAGTTACAAAAGTTGTTTTTAAAGCTGAACTCCGTGTAGTTCTTTATATCTACGTCCATCTCAAGTGTTTATACATATACCTTGGAGCTCACATGTGTTTGGAAAGATGCAGGCATTAAAAATGATAAAAATAAATGTGTGTTGAAAAAATTAAGAGACGTGTTGCTGTTTATAATAGTTATTTCTTCTCCACGGAAATAATACATGCTGGTAAGAACTTGAACTCGAAAAAACACCAGCTAATCCAAGTTATTAGATTTGCGACATTTGTTTAAGTTGAGAAATACCACGATTGAGAAGAAGTGCGTGTTTACTCAGGTGACCCCTTTTCACAGCATCTCCCTAACGCCTTTGCAGGTGGGACTGTCACCCGGCATTTCTTCCGGGCGCGCTGCTCCGCGGCGGGCACTCTGCGTCCCGGC